CACAAGTTTGTTAAAATTTCCAAAGGGTGCCACGACTAAAAAAAGGTTGGGAAACACTGGAGTAGACTACAATGCCGGCTGTTCTGACTCACAGACTGTAAGTACGTTTTCATTTAAAGGATTTGCCACTGATGATTCAAACGCGAGTTTTGGGCAGTAGAGTAGCACTTGTTGTTTGTAATTTCTCTGATGGCAAATGCAGACAGGGTTTTATGTTTACGCGGCGCAATGCAACGCAACGCGTAAAATGACAGTATAAGTCATTATAATCCGTAATTATGTCCCCACTGGATGCAACAAATGCCTGGTTTGTAATGGTTTTATTGGTTTTGTCTCGTCGCTCCGGCCGGAGAGGGCATCATCACAGTATGGTGAGGGGCGTAAGATTTCCGTCTCACGCTTGAGGTATTTGGCCAATCACAACGCACTGGATAGCTGGTCAATACAGCACATCTCGCTTTTTCAGACCGATGAGCTTTGTAAAAATCGACGCGTTTCAGAAAGGCGGGGCATAGAGGAGAAACAATAATGTACAGTATGTGGAAAATAATGTGTTTTTTTAACTTTAAACCGCATAAACACATTTCATTACACCAAATACACAAAATAATGTTCTTTTTAGCAGCATCATATGACCCCTTTAATATATTAAGCCCTCTATTTAATTATATTTACATTATGGCCCCTGACATATAGTGTTTTCTAGTTTTAATCTGGAACTTCCTTATTTTCCGTACTTCCTTATTATATCCTTATCCTTATTAAAAGCCTAAAATCTCTTGACAGAATCTTTCTTATTTAGTTAGTTAGTTTGTTTGTTTGTTCATGCATTTATATATATATATATATATACATTTAATAATTTGATTTTTTAATTTATTTTTAATGTATCGATTAATCACTATTTATTTCTAAAATATTAATAACTTTAAGTTTTCTATTTAATTACATTTACCTTACATCCCTGACAAATAGTTGTTTCTTGTTTTAATCTGGAACTTTATTTATTTGTTTGTTTGTTCTTTCATTCATCTTTTTTATTCTATTAATCTCTATTTAATTGCAATATATTATTAAATTACGTTTTCTATTTCTATACATTTACCTTATGTACCTGGCAAATAGTTTATTTTTACGCATAGCTTAAAAATTGCTTATTTTTAAAACATAAATCTGCTTAAAATGAGAAAAACTATTTGCCATTTTATTACGAAACCAAATATAAATATAGATATACATAGATAGTTATAGAAAGAACGGACATAAATGATATATTGCATAAGATACAGTATATATTATATAAAATATTAACATAAATATAACTTGATATGGATTGCATTTAGTCTAGTAATTTTGACATTTTATTGGCAAAACAAAGAAAGAAAGATACTGATAAGGAGCATGTGTTTTTTCCTCTGACCTGTCTGTGTCCGAAGTGGCTGAGGATGGCGGCGAGTTTCTTGGAGCCGCTGTGGAGTCTCTGGATGGGGACGGCGGGGTTCGGGTCCCTCCAGTCCACAGAGAGGCGATGGAGCCACATGTTATCTTCCTGCAGATGAGCTCGTCTGATGCTGGGGTCAAAACAGTGAACCTCACAGCCGGAGCCGGCCAACAAGCGCTCCAGAGCATCATCCTCCGCTCCCAGCCTTCACACACACACACACACACACACACATCCGTCAGCTCCAGACACTCATTTACCACAGTAAAGACTCAGTGAGAAGCAGCATTTTTACCCCCTTAATCATGTTAACACCACCAGAGTTATTTTAGCATCACTGAGATACTAGTGCATATTTATATTCTGAATTAGTTTTTATTTGTTATATTTTCTGTTTTCATCTGTTTTTATTTTATATTAGCTAAAATCTTAGTAATTTTGTTAGGTGTTTTTGTCTTTTTTTAATTCATGATAGATCGATAGACAGACAGACAGACAGATAGATAGACGGACGGACGGACGGACGGACGGACGGACAGATAGATAGATAGACAGACAAACAGATAGACAGACAGACAGATAGATAGATAGATAGATAGACGGACGGACGGACGGACGGATGGACAGACAGATAGATAGATAGGTAGACAGACAGACAGACGGATAGATAGATAGATAGACAGACGGATAGATAGATAGATAGATAGATAGACAGACAGACAGACAGATAGATAGATAGATAGACGGACGGACGGACGGATGGACAGACAGATAGGTAAGAGACAGACAGATAGATAGATAGACAGACAGACGGATAGATAGATAGATAGATAGATAGATAGACAGACAAACAGATAGACAGACAGACAGATAGATAGATAGATAGACAGACGGATAGATAGATAGATAGATAGATAGATAGACAGACAAACAGATAGACAGACAGACAGATAGATAGATAGATAGACAGACGGATAGATAGATAGATAGATAGATAGATAGACGGACAGACAGACCGTGGTGACCTGAGGGTGAGCACATTTCCAGCACATTTTCATTTTCAGGTGAACTGTTGCTTTAAATGATCAGCTCATCTGTTTTATAAATCACGTTAGGAGAACATTACCAGACTCATGTGAATAAATCAGCGTCTCCAATGGCAATCAGATCTGGAGAGTGCTTTAGCTGGAGGAGGATTCGCTGCGGGGTTCAAATCTGCTTGATTCGCTCGCTTGCGACAGACGTTCATGAATGATTCATTCAGCTCTGTGTCTGTAAAGCGTCCAGAGCTGCTCAAACCTGTGCTGGATGATCTGAAATGAGTGTTTGCATTGCAGATGATTTACGCTTTCTGGGATCGTTCGAGGTGCTCTGGAAACTTTCACGGAGTTGAATCAGCTGCAGACTCGCAGGCTGATATTATTGAGATCTGGGCCAGAATATGAAGTGCTTGTTTGTGTTTAAGACTCGATGGCACCCAATCAAACACAAGCGTCGATCATCACAGCGATGCTCACTGAACTCTCGCTGTCCTGTTCACTAATGAGTGCACTTGTGCAGTAATACGGCTCTTTGGCTTGTGTTTCTGCAACTTGCTCTAGAATGGATCATCTAGAAATATTTTGGTGGGTAAAGGTTAGTTTTTGGGAGCATGTCAAAAACGTCAATTGCATGATTTATTTATTAATTTGTATAATTTATCTATTTTCATTTGTTTTGCATTTTGACTTTTTTATGATTACTAAACACAATTCTCATCAGCCTGCTATATTGTTTAAACTGTGTTTATGGCAGCATTTGTTGTACTGACATCAATGAATGATTTTCATTTATTTGTTTGTTTATTTATTTATTTTGCGGTTAAATGTTTCATTTGTAATGATCCTATAACATTTTAGTAATTTGGTGTTTTTCTTTTCATTTTTATTAGTTTTTGCTTTTTAAAATATGTCTATATAAATTGCATTCATTCTTTTTTAGGTACTTCAGTAACTTAAACTAAATGAAAAAGAGAAATGTTGCCTCGGCAGCTAGCTGAAATAAAGTAAGTTTAAGGGTTTTTAATATTTTATTTCAATTAAAGTTTATTGAAAGTATTTTTATGGTTTTAGTAAATAATAAAAATTAACTATTTATTGCATTTTGACACTATTCTAATGATTATTAAACACAAATTAAATTCTCTTTAGCCTGCTATATTGTTTAAATTGTATTTATATATTGCAGTATTTTCTGTACTGACATCAGTGAATGATATTATTTGATATTTTTATGCATTTGTTTTGCATTACAATAATGCAAATTTGGTGGAAAATTTTTAATTCTCATGAAAACAATGTCAAAATTCAAAACAATTGTAATCCAAAAATAGGCTTCATTTTCTTCATGCAAGACCGTTATTTTAACATCACTGAGATACTAATATAGTTTTTATTACATTTGTAATATGCCTATACAGTTTTTATTAATTTTAATAGTTATTTTAACAATTTAACTTGTTGAAACTATTGATTAAACTATTGAAAATGAGAAATGTTGATGAAAATGTTGACAAATAATTACATTAATTAATTAATAATAATAAGTTCTGTGTTTTTTATGTTTTATTTATATATTTCTGTTAGTTTGTTTTATTGAAAATAACATGTTTTTATGATTTTAGTTACTATAATAACCCTGATGTATGTTTCTTATTGTTGAAATTCCTCATTCTGATTTCCTCAAGAGATCGAGATTTTGAAACTGATCTCTGATTAAACAGAAAACTATCTGCTGCTGCGTCTGCATGAATAATGTGTGTGAATGGAGTCTGACTGTATGATGAGGACCGAGCTGCAGGGCAGGAGTGTGTCTCTCACACACACACACACACATACTCACACACACACACACACACTCTCTCTCTCTCACACACACACACACACACACACACACAC